AGGCTCGTGAGTAAGGATTTCTCTCGAGTGAGTCAATTGCTCACTTTTCTCACTAGTTGCACAAATAACTATAGTTTGTACTTTATTATGAAATGGGCCCCGGAATAAACTATTTACAACATTTATTTGAAGAAAATCGTCGGAGCCGTTTTCGAGATCTTATGGTGGAAGCAAGCATACAAGCAAAACATTGCTCATATTAGAGTATAGGACTAGCAAGCATACATACAAGCAAACATTGCTCATATTAGAGTAGGATATTTTGATGAAATTTGGAAAATGCATTCATTTCGCTAAAGTACCGTATTAATATTTTACAAAAAAACACCTTTTTTACCCTACCTGTAGCAGCAAACCTAATTACTTGTTAAACTCCATACACACAATACAAGACACAAAGCAAACATAGATCTACCCCAACATAGACTCTCTAAATTCAGCAATACACCACAATACGCTGGCTCAAAATTTTACAACTTGCTACCACAACAATTTAAACATCTACACAACAATAAAACATTTGTCCAACACCTAAAAAAATACCTGACCAATAGACCATATTACAACATAAACGAGTACATAGAGGAACATTCATACACACACATACGCCAGCTCACTTCGTGAACATACAGCAAAATCCCGTCCAGACGGAAGAACTATGACGATTCCCTGATCTACGGATTGTGGTGAAGACATCGAAGGTAAAAGGTAAACTGATGTTATTGAAATAGGGAATAAATGTGATAGGCCTATTTTTAAGGAGACATTTTAGTGTAAATCCAATCAGGCAAAAGAAAACTCGCTTAGTCTGCAGGTTTGCTGCGGCGGGGGTATTTTTTCCTTTTTAGCGAATTTCCCTATAGGGAAGTAGCTATTACCGTAGGTGGCACGGTAAGACCTAGACCCGAGACCGATTTACTTTTTCATTTTGATGTCCCCAGAGGCCAAAAACACCATTCGTTCAAATTTTTATATATGTATATATATATATATATATATATAGACTTATATATATATATATATATATATACGTCCGTGAACGCGATAACTTGAGTAATTTTTGTCCGATTTTGATGAAATTTGGTTTAATGGTGTAAAGCGGGATAAACTTGAATGAGTTCGCGAACCAGCACGATCGGACCATGGGAACGGGGCTTTACGGGGGGTTTTATGGGGTAAAAATTGGGTTTTCTCACTTTTGACCCTCAAAACACAAAATTTCCCGATTTCTCTTTAGACCTTTTTAAAGAGCTTAAAAAAACAAATAATTTAGTATATAAAAGTATTTTTGTTCGATTATTAGTAACGGAGAAAATTAAAAAAATTGTAAATTTAAAATTCCCATGTTATTCTTATGGAGAATATTGTCAAATGTTGTAGTTTGCTTGTTTATGGATATATTTTGATCAAACCTGGCAAAATTTATTTATTTTGTACTAAGCTATCAATATTTTACTCAAAAACACACTTTATTAGTTTCCTTGTAGCAGCAAACCTAGGTACTCGTTAAACCTAATGTTATTAAAATATATTTAACTGAAAATCAATTCAGACAAATGAAAATTCGCTTAGTCGGCAGGTTTGCTGCGGCGGGGGTATTTTTAGTTTTTTTATGTCCCACCTTAGGACGCTAGTTCTAGCTCGGAACTGTTTTACACATTATTTCAGACTTTGTCATTGAGGGTTGAGGCAATATCACGTAGATAAAATCCATTGGTGAATGGTGGGATTTGAACCGATAAGCCTTCAGGCACCGATAAGCCAAGCCCCGCGCTCTACCACTAGACCAGTTTCCTCCCCATAGATTGGCGAGTTGTTTCCTCTGGCCGAAAAACCAAGGAGGCGGGTTGTCGTGGTGGCACCTTGACGGCTACCAATATTACTACACAAATATATTTTATTGTAAATATATTTACAACTTGCAACTTAGCAGCATTGGCGAGAGTAGCAGTATTATTTACAAAGCTGAGAGGCTCATCAAAGTTACTATATTGCAATGAGTACTGCCACAGCCAAAGCGCTCTATTGAGTAGACAATGCTGTTGAAGCCTTGTTTTGGAATCGCTTTTGGTCAAGAACACGAACCCCTATCGACAGCATGTTGAATAGCCTGATAGCAAGCAATGGGTAAGAGTTCAGAATGTAGCTGATTTGGCAGCAGGGCATTTTCAAGTTGCAGCGTCCCATAATCGAGGTAGGTTTAAGTCGCACATTCTAAGCATCCCATAATCGTGCTGCATGCTCCTAGTTGCAAAGGTAGACTAGTATAGGTGGTTAGCATAATTGGTTGTGTATGGTCAGGATAGCGAGCTCCTTAAAAATAAAATGACAGTGGTCAGTTGTACCTAAAGATTTAATTATTCTTACGGCCTTCTTATGTAGCGGCAACACACTTTGGATGGTGTGGCTATATGTCCCTACACTGCCAGACCATAGTTGATATAACTATGAAATTGCGAGTGGTAAACCATGAACCAGTAGGGACGTCAAGTGATCTGATGTTTTAGTTTTCTTAATGAGGCGTAAAATCCTGCTGAGTCTAAGGACCTAGAGCGAAGTCCAGGTGACCTTCTCCAAGGGTTGACTTCAGTTCATCTTGTAATCAGCCCGGACACCCAAAATCTGACTGTCTTATCATCAATATTTAATGTCATTATTGTTTTATGTTTATAAACTAAGCCCAGCTGTCCTGCTTAATAATCAGCCATATTACAATAACACCAAATACATAGGATTACATAGATATTAATATCCATTTATAGGCCAGCTGTCATCGTGAAAACTTTGTGAAAACCCCCATGACGATTCCCCACGATTACTAGAAAAATACCGATTCCCTGGGGCCCATTTCATAATAAACTACAAGTTACAAGTTACAACTTGTAACTTGTAATTTCCATTTGATTTGCATTGGGCGATCAGCTGATTTACTAATAATATTAGTTTGTACTTTATTATTAAATGGGCCCCTGATCTACGGATTGTGGTGAAGACATCGAAGAGCGAGCTAATCGAAATTCCCTCTACATAAACCGGATGAAATTATACTTAAAAAAAATAATAAAAAAAACAAACTTGCATCTGCTGCTGCATGAAAACAGAATTTTCCTTACCGAAGACAGAGGGGGACAGGGAACAGCATGATCACAGCATAAACTGGGGAGCACACAACTGAACACAACTAGATGTAGGCTTGCAATGACAAGAGAGTTTCCCGCAGGTTGCTGTTAATATGTTCAATGCCCTGCCGAAATAGTGCACATGGAAGATAAGGTTTTCACCAAGATCTTGAAGGAACTTCTCCTAGCAAACCCATTTCATTCAATTGAAGGATTTTTTTTTTAATTCAACGACACTGTCGCTAGCATAATCATCCACCGCCGCGCAGTCATTTATATGTTTATTTATTGTAAATCGTAGTTTTAAGGATTTTGACGCTATCTATCCGGCCCAGGCTGGTCAACGATGAAGAGGAGGAAATAAGATAATATCTACAACACAACCAGTCCTCCAAGAGAATAATGATGTGACATTTTAAATATGTCCTGAAATTCTGAAAATATTTTTAAGAATAATCATTTTAAATTAAAATTGTTTGTGGGAGAGATAATTTCCCCTGCCCCCAGAAAAAGATACAAGTTTCACTCCCCCCCCCCCTAAAAAATTGTCTGCAGGCACCCTTGCAAAACTTCTTGCCCCACCTTGAAAGAAGTCTTATTCGGCCGTTTTTTTTATAGCTGAAATTAACAGTAAATAGTTCTTTAAGAAATTGTTATAAAGAGCAATATTTATTTGTAGCCACTCATAATTCTATACTGTACTCCATTCAAATTATTTAGGTGGTTTGAGGGGAAGTTCCCCCACCTCTTTTTTCTACTTAATGTATGTTGCAGATGATTAACGTTTTGGAAAATCTCAGCTGTTGAGCCATGTTTTAATGGGTCCAGTAATGGTAGGAACAAGACGTGGAGGGGATAGATTTCTTCCCCTAAAACCGTCTACGTTTAGTGAACGGAGTATAACACGTTTTATTTGCAGGGCTTGATTTAAAGCAAGACAGAGGGAATTTTGTTTCACTACCAAAATTATATTCACTCTATAATAGGTTTACCAACAGGGTGCAGCACTATTATTTTTATTAAATTTATGACAACATCTAATTTGCAACCTAAAGGTGAGTGAGCGTAGCGAACGAACTTCAACCTAGAGGCGAGTTAGCTTAGACATTCCATCCCAATGTTTAATTTGTAACCAGCTTTTTAAAAATCGTCGTAGAATGACTTATGATGAGTTATAGAAAACTGTTATGACCCATCAACCAGGTCAGCAACAAAAAATAAGGTATAAAATAGAATTTTGGACACTAGAGCATTCTGTGGCTGGCTCACACAACTACATTCTTTTTTAATAACAAGTTGGCTACAGCTGGTCCATATACTGTAGATGGGAAGTCCACAGTCCACTTCAGTATCCAACTCAATGCTTCAGGGCTAGGGTTAGCGTAGCGAACGAGCTCACCTGAAGGCAAGTGAACGCAGCGACGAGCTCCAACCTAAAGGTGAGTAAGCGCAGCAAACGAACTTCAACCAGTTCAACCAGGACGTGATTGAGATTGAGCCATGTGAACGAGCTTATCTTGAAAATGAACGAGCATTGACATAAAACCACATTAGGACAGGACGACGTCTGTCGTGCTAGTTGATATACTGTATAAAAATTAATTTAAAACTTCACCTTAAATAATATAGATTAATATTAATACATTATTCTGATTTCGTATTGTTATGGCCAGCATGAACTCCCCCCCCCCCCCCCCCGAAAAAAAAATATTGTGTTAACATGATTTTTATAAACATTTTAGTAAAACAAATTTTAGCTCATAGCACTGGCTGTATGAAGAATCCAAAAGCTCTTCAACGGAAAATTAGTCTGGGTTGGAGACTAAAACTACTTTGAGCTTGTCTTGTAGACCTTTGTTTTTGTATTTCTAATGGCGGCCATCTTTAGGTTATACGTCCATCTTTACAACAGTGATGTTATTATTTGTAATTTCCAGTGTAAAGATACAGAGTGTATTCTCTAAAACATGATTAAATCGTAGAGAATATACAGTTCTATAGCTTAATTAGAAAGAATACATAATTTTACCTTTTGACACTCAAATACAAATGTTAATAAACTTTTTGAACTCGAAGAATTCGTCTGCTGAAAGGTTCAGGTAAGAAAACTGTTTATTTACTAAATGTCGTCTCTACTATTTGAACATTTTAGCTTTGAAAGTGTTGTTTTAGTGGTGTATAACTTGTTTGGAATCTTGTTTTCATAAAAGCGCAGGATTTATATGCTTAGCAGTATTTTCAACCGTAGTCCAAACCTTTAAACAAGATCGGTCAGTTGACGAATTCAAATGGTTGCATTTCTTTTTCAGTCGTTGCATTTTATTGTAATCACATTCCGTTCAAATATTTAATGATATAGGCTTAGGTAACTCAAATTGTTTTTATTTTTAATATTGTTATGATGGTAAAAAGTTAGGGACCTTATTGTTTAAATGTATTTTGTTGTGTTGTGGTGTGAACTAAGTTAGATCTAAGCTAAGTTAGCTATATTATTTTGGTTGGCCTGCATATGCCTACATTTAAAGTCAAGCCAAATCCCCATAAATCGAAAACCTAGTGGATGTACTGTTTCATCAAACTAGGCTATAACTTATTCACTTTGTGATATATTTTAGGTTTCATAAATAAATGCTTAATAAGCTTAAGTTAGGATAACACAATACCCTATTTAAACTTTCATTCTGGTAACATGCTTTGAGCTAGTTTTGGAAACTAGGCTAAGCTAGTTGTCCTTATGCAGTAGGCTATCTAACTCAAGTTAGGATATTTAAATTACTGATTAACTTATTTGGGCCCATAGATTAAAGTTCTATATTTCAGCATTAGCCTTCTTCAGGAACAAACAAACAATAAGTTGATTAAGTTAATTTTACTGTATAAGTGATGTAAGTTAAAGTTTAAAAGCAAGATGGACAATTTTGACATAATTTAACTTAGGCCTATTTTTAATTTCAAGGGATAACTTAACTTAACATTGTTCTCACCAAGCGAAGGTCTAGACATTTGTTTTGTTAGGCTTTTTAGGCTCTTGTTTCAGTTGTTTATTCTAAGTTTAACTGACCACCTTGCATTTGAACATCAGTAATTAATTGTACTTGAAAGTGGATTTGTCTATTCACTAAGTGCAGTTCACTAAAAGTCAGAAAATTCTTAGCTTCCAATACTTATCCATAAATTAGATCCTTGTGTATCATAAAAATAAATGTTTTGTTTAGCTGTACCTAAACAAATTAGGCCCATGTGTTTTTTCTAATAAAAAAATGAAGCAAGTTTAACCCTCCGAGTGTCATGCGTCGCTGCAGCGACGCGTAACGCACTTTGTATAGTGTCGTGCGTCGCTGCAGCGACTCGCGAACACTGTTTACGGCGAAGGCTCTATGACTAACTGAATCGGACTGTACTGGATTGAGTTAGGTATCGTTCTGTCCGTAATATTCTAAGCTTTCTGCAGAGGTCTGTCTCTAAGCACTATTCATTTTAGTTCCGAAAATATTGTAGCAGACAGCTGACTGAGCTGACGTGCGTGTATTTGTAAACAGCTAGGTTACCCTCGGACCGATGACTGATGTGTTTTATTACGTTTATCATTGTTTTAGTGTTAATAATCAAAAGTAGTGATATACGTGGTGCATTATAAGAAGATTTAAGTGGTTTTGAAGTGCTGGTTGATGATCCTGAAGAAGTAGGTAGTGATATTGATGTAAATTATCAGCCAGATTCCTAGCTATGGTTGGGCTATGCATTCTTAGCTAAACGCTATGTACTGAAATCTGTTTTTTGCCCATAACTTTTTTATTTGCAAATCTACTTCCTTATATTATTATAGATTTGTAATCCTCATAAAATTTAGAACAAAGTGGCTATTTTCAAATATTTATAGGCCTATAATTTATACAATTTCATTGAGCGCAAACTTATTTTTTTTTGAAAATTTTCGAAATTATACATTTTTTTACCTAAAAAAATTTTTTTTTTTTAAATCTTCCTTATGTTTTATATATAATATTGAAGCCCAAGATTTTCCAAACAAAATGGTATATAGAACAGTATAATTAGGCCTAACATTGTTTTTAAGCTTCTCAGATCAGTTTTAATAAAACCTTGCAAATGAGCAAAAAATAGGCTGACATTAAGGCCAAAACACGTGACACTCGGAGGGTTAACTTTATCCATAGAATATATTTTATGACAGCATAAGTTAAACAACTTACAGCAATATTGAAGAAATCCTCCATTTATCTAAGTTAACCTTTGTTAAATTAAGTTATTAGGCATATTCTTACCACCACACACCAGTTATTTTTAGGTAAATTATGAACTTAACTGAACATATTGTGTTTGTATTACATTAGTAATTATTATTTTTTTGTTGCCTTTTTCCTATATAATCAGAATAATGCATTGAGAAAACATAGCAACAATATATTAAAAATAATGTTATTTACCCTAAACAGCTGTTGAACATAATATTGTTTGAATTGATGATTTAGCCAACTTAATTAGATGCACTTTACTAATTTTAAAATACAGTGGTTTCAAATTTAACTGAAATGTTTTTGATATTTGCAAGAATTATGTTCATTATGAAATTTGTTGGTTTATTCTCAATTGTGAACAAGATTCTAACTAAATAAGGTAAGTTTCTCCCAGATAATTGGGTCCCAGCCTGGTAAGTTAAGTAGGTACCTAAAGCATTCTTGAAACATTGGCCTACTTAACTTATGGTTTTTCCCTCTATAATAATACCTTAGTTAAACATTTTTATTAAAAACAGTGGTCAGACCTATTAAACTAGTTGTGCAGATTAAGCTGCAAAATATACTTGTAAAGTTACTAGCCTACCAAATTTAACAAAATTAATTCAGTGATTGAAAATGCCCTCTGTAGGCCTAACTTAACTGTTGTGTTTGTAGATTAGCCTATATAGGCTATGATTATAGCTTTTGGTCAATTTTCATTGTGGTCCTTATTGCTTTGCAAGTCATTCAAATGCAGCTTTTTTTAACTTTTCATACATTATTCATGTGATGTAGGTAAGCCTATTCATTATTCATTTTATGGGTAGATAAAGCTAATGTAAGTTACTCGTAATAAAGATTCTAATTTTCTGTTGGTTTGGCTCAACATTTTTAACTAAAAATTATAGGTAGTTTTAAATTTTGATTTATTTACAAATTGGTCCAACAATTTTGTAAATTGAATGCCAGAGAAGGTAGGCCCCTAAACTTGATAAGTGACTTTGACTTTTTTTTTTTTTTTTTTTTGTTTTTCAAAGCATAAACTTATATTTACACAGTTGCGTTTAAAACTTCTACATAACATTAAACTTAAACCGTTTAATTTAGGCCTAAGTATTTTTATAAGCAATTTAAAGGTAGGCTACATAGGCCCTAACTTAACTTTATTCAGGTAACATTGAAATTAAATTTTGTCTTTTTAGTCACCAAGTATTATTAAGATAAGTTATTGCCACACCAAATGCACTTTTAAAAAATATTCCAATAAAAGTTAAACTTAATAGTGTTATTGACATGTTTGTTATGTTTGAACTGCCAGTAATAACTGAACTCGCTTGTAGATAAGTGTTATCGCGGTTACTTTTTTATCAGTGAATAGTCTTTGCTCTATAAATTAATACAGTTGTCGACTTCAGTTTGCCTTTGCTTTGTTACCTTTTGCATTTTGATACCGTAATTACTTTCTTCCTCCTGTGGGTAGCTGATGTGAAAATGGAAATCACTTATGTTTTGTCCTTGTCAATGCATTTAAATGTACGTGAGTGTGTCAAATGCATTCATTATTGGTTGGTGATTAAGTTATGATAAAATGTCAAGTGCTTATTACTGATCTCAATACGGTACTAGATTTTGATGATACAACATGCGTATTTGTTAGGCTTTCTTTAACAAAAAGAAACTACACCTTTTCCACACTTATTTGAGAAGTTATAAATTGTAGGCTATTTGAGAATCATTATTTGTATTTGAGAATATATCATGTAAATGCGATTAAACAGTCAGTTGAATTTAATAAAACAACGAAATGTAGGTTGGGATTAGTCAATTGTATTTGAGAAAGTAGCCTATTAGGCCTATATGGAATTGAGAAATTGTTAATTTCATTTCAGAATTAGGGATTTTAATTTGAGAAGTTGGTTATTGATCAGCTGAATTTTGAGTTTTCATTATCAAATCACAAGTTATCAAATACATTTAACCATTTAAAATATAATTTAATGCTCTTAAATTAAATTGATGCCTTCTCAAATACAACTGACTGTTCTCAACTTCATTGTTTTCTAAAATATATTTGTCTACTCTCAAATATGATTGATATGTTCTCAAATAAACATAAGTTAACTGTTTCTCAAATACAATTGGAAAAGGTGTAGTATACGATCTAACTTACTTACCAAAATGCCCTATTGACAGTACCGGTCTTTTTTTTAGTAGGCCTAAGTTTATTGCTTATCTTTTTTACCTAATTAAGGTCTTCAACTACAGTAGGCCTACATGTTATTGGTAGAAACTGGTTTTTTGACTTAGGCGTAACCTTGAAATAAGTCTGCCTTATTTAATAGGCTTAGTTTTGTCATAGGGTCTACTTAAATGGAAAGATGCGTTAATGAGCCCTGTATACGATGAAGTAGAAGTTTTATTTCATTGAAGTATAAGTTAAGCCCAACTTCGCCAAAATGTTACATGTCAACCTCTTGGCTGTTTTTAGTAATATTAACACGTCACATCATCATTTTAATTTTAACTTATGGTAGGCCTACCTACTTTCCTGTCAAAGGGAACATTCATTATTATCAATGATTACTTTTCGATATTGAATCTTATTTTTCGATCCGATATACCGATATTAACAATGATTACTTTTCGATATTGAATCTTATTTTTCGATCCGATATACCGATATTAACAAATTGATATAGCTGACAACTACGATAACAAACAATAAAAAAATATATATTAAAACGAAACTGTTCTAAATTAAACTAACCTAACCTAGCTAACAAAACTTGCTGTGACATTTAATAATACCGTTTGTTATTTCCCGTATGCCTTTACTGTCAAAGCAAATCTGCATTTAGCCT